ATCATAGTATTATCAGTTCACAGCTATTTTTCGTCATTCTCACCACTCTTTTGGTAATGATATTAATGCTCGATAATTGGTTACACTGTTCTTTCTGTTGTTTGTGTCTCTGAAAATTCTGTGCTATAGAAAGATAGAAATAACTCCTCTGTATCAGTATCGTCATCATTATCATTATCATTAGTTTGTATTTCAAAAAAAGCTATTTTCGTCTCTGGTGATTTGCTTGGGAAGTTTTAAAGTGGGTTTTTTCCCATATTATGTCAGTTTTTTTATAAAAAGCACCGAATTTTTCAATTTTTTGAAATCTTAGTTTTATTTGTAACGATTTTTTGCCGGTATCCTTTGGTCTATGAACATCTTATTAGGGAAAACTTCTGCTGACATATCCCGGGGAGCAGCTTGCTGATGATATTAGCCGCATGAGTAAGCTTTTTTTTGCGGTATCAAAGGAGAAAGGTTCGAGCTGCCAGAAAAAATTGTTGATATGATAAGTTATCAATAATTAAGTAATGCATTAATTGCATTTTTTCCCCGTTTTGAAAGCAATAAATGCTTTTTTTGTAGCATTTCACTGGAGATAAATGAGCTGTGATATTCTGCAAAAACTCCGGTGATTATTTTGGATATTTTAATGCGGTTATCTTTCCATTGTTGTTACACCGGTGACTTTTCCCTTCCTTCGGTTGCATTTTCCTGTATATAATTTTTTATGCCAAAATGGATGATTGCTGTAATTTTTTTTGAGGGGAAGAAGAAAAAAGTCGGATAAATGAAGAGGAGTGAAGAACCTTCCTAAATAGGACCCAGTAAAGTACTAAAACTGCCTCCTTTCTGATTTCGCTTGCTTATCTGAGATGAAAACTAAATATGTTTTATTTGTTTTATGAGTTCCGTCAGACAGTTGCATAACAACAGATGATTCTATTCAGCTCTTCCGGAATGTCACAGATTTTAAGGATTTTTAAGTGGTTTTGCAAAGATGCTAATTAGATACTGCAGTACAACTTAATGAAGTTTTAATTATTCAGAACTGGGGAAAAAAAGCTCTGTCCGATTTTTGACAGCTGTTTATCTGGCTGTGAAAGTAGTGTGCTCTTGGGTTATGTTTTTGACCATATATCCAGCATCTCGTATATCAAATCAGAAAAAATTTTCGCACTTGAAATTTGCGATCAGTGAGGGCATGCGAATAAGTAGTCTGTGTCTCGGCTTTGGGATTTCACCTTCAGTCACATTTTGTGGACTTCTAAAATTATTTGAGCGGTGGTACTTTGTCAGATGCAGCCAGCCTCTGATAAATCAGTTCTTCTTGATACTGCTTCGGCCAGCACCTGATAATTTTCAGATTTTCTTGATATTTTGCCTTGACGAGGGTTGCTCCAGAATTTCTTGATTCCACATGGTTCAGGAGTACTTAAGTACAGAGGAAAAAAGCAGAAGTAATCCGTTTTACTTGGCGTCTTCTCTTTTGAGTCTTGCATGTTTCTAAATTTTATGCTTGAAGAAATTTATTATTATAATGCTGCGAAGCTCTGAAGTATT